CAGTAGTGGACAAAATTGATCCTGAACAGTTACCTGTACCAAAAGAAGATTATCTAAAACTAGTTAATATTTGCTTGAACTTCGGGGGGTTCAAATTTAACTCTGACGAATACTTACAGCATAGTGGACTAGCGATGGGATCCCCGCTGAGCCCCGTGGCAGCATGTTTATATATGGAGTGGCTGGAGAAAAATCATTATCAAAGGATCATGGGTGAGGGAGTGATTTGGACTCGCTACGTCGACGATGTCCTCGTGGTGACACCAAAAAGTCTCGACCTGGAGGTCAAGCTGCATGAACTCAATTCGGTGAATGAAAAGATTCAGTTCACTCTTGAGAAGGAAAAACAGGGATCCATTGCGTTCCTCGATACGATGATTATACGTAATGATAGAGCGAAATTCAAAGTTTACCGAAAACCAACCAACAAAGAGTCATATGTGCATTTCTATTCTGGACATAGTGATAGGGTTAAGAGTGGTGTTGTCTTGGGATTTTTTCTACGTGCTTTCCGAATTTGTAGCAAAGAATATGTGGATGACGAGATCGAGCATATCATGCTTTCCTTCATGAAGCTGAAATATCCGAAAGGATATTTATTGGATCTTAAACGAAAGGCCCTTAACCCTCGCCCGCACATGGGGGGGGGTGGTTGCCACCCCCCCCAGGCAGTCTTTCTGCTCTGCACTCAACATTTTTAGAGCTAGAAGGCTGATTTTTCGTATAGCTGCTCGTCTATCCTTTCTTGATGTCCACTGAAAATTTCAAGTTTCTGTGATTTTTGGTTTTGGAGATATGACCTTGTTTTTCAGGTCATGTCATGACCCAAATGGCCAATTCTCAACATCTTGCGTTTGCCATGGGCCTTGTGAGCTTTTGACACCCTGATTTCGGCCTTTTTTGCCAGTCTTACCTCCCACCTATCATGGAACATGTTGTTCGACGATGTACAGGGGTCAAGGTCAGGGTCAAGGTCAACCTAGGTCATCTAAGATAATTGCGTTTTAGGCAAGCTGAATTTACTTTTTGTGAAGTTTTTTGACTGCATTTTTGGTAAAAGCTTCTCAGATCATGATTTCATGTGATATGGACCCAAAAACAATCGGTGCACACATCAGTATACACACAGACACACACAGACATACAAACACATATAATTGACCTTGACCTAACTTGACCTGAAATGACCTCAGCAGCAAAATTCTGGTCGGATAGTGTGACAAAGAGGTTCTAGCTGGCTTGGCACCAGAAAACAGCATCGTCATCGGTATTTGATAAGCAGCGCACTTGATATCCAACGGTGACCCAAAACAGCAACATTTTTTAGTTTGACCTGACCTGGAAGGTCAATGACTGACCTGAGAAGGTAAAACTGGGTATCATTGGATTCGTCTCTTCCCAAAGAATCTTTTTGGTCTTTACTGCTAAGCTCTATCTCCAACAGGAACGAAATGGCGCGGGGGGGGTGGCAACCACCCCCCCTATGTGCGTTCTAGGATGGGAAAATGGCATGTGCGGGCGAGGGTTAACATACGAAAACGATCCTCAACAACAAAAACCAAGAAAAAAGACGAACGATACATCACGATGCCGAACTCGATCACGGCCACAACGATTGCGAAAGAACTCGAGACTATAGGTTTTAAAGTGTCCTTTACTTCGGGTAAAAAGGTGGGTGACATGCTATCAAGAAATAGAGAAAGTAACAAAAAGGATAATGGCAACAGCGTTGTATATCAGGTTCCATGCGGGTCTTGCAATAAGAAATACATCGGGGAGACGGGAAGGGGTATTGGAACGAGATTAAAAGAGCACAGACGTGACCTACGAAATAACATGCAACACAGTGCGTTTGTTCTACATGCTCAGAACTCCAACCATCTCCCATACTGGGACGGGGCAAAGGTACTCACGTCATGTAGTAATCGCGACAACAGAAAAGCTACTGAAGCGGCGTTTATTGCTACGAGTGATACCATTAATGTCAGGGTTGGTTTCATGAAGTGGGCAAAAGCAGCGGCGTCGTTTGGCATTTTAAACATCCACACATGAATTGTGCAACACCTGTGTAAACTGTACAATGTGGCTATTCTCTTAGGATTCTTTTAGGATATTTTCTCTTTGTCAAAGGAAATGTAACCACATTGTCACATGCTTGTTTAAAAGTGTATGTAAAAATCAAAACGATTGAACTGCGATATTTGCTCGATGTGTGCCTCTTGTTCTCCTTTTAGACGCTGATGACGGTGATTTAGCCGAAACGCGTTCGTCTATCATTTTTGTTCCGTGTTATTAGCCATTTTCGAAGATATCGGGCTAAAATTTTTGACAGTGGGTCATCGGTTCGGTATGTGTTCAATCACATGCTCCATTTCCTTTTTTCAGCACAAATGTAAGTTTTGAAGACCATCACTGATCACAGTAGCAAATGCTTCGAAAGATGGATAGTAGGCAACATATCCTGAATTTGCCGTGCTGCATGGGAAGTAGTGTTGATGAAAAAGGGGTTTTTGGTTCAGATTATTGTGGGTGCAGAATACATTGTCTGCACCCACTGGATAAATATTGTGGGTGCAGCTGCACCCTTGCACCCATGGTTCCTACGCTTATGAACCGGTACCAAACCAAATCGATACCAACTTGGTATTTGGTATTTTCATCTTAACATTTTTGGTATTTTGTTGGTATTATGAAACCTCACTAATTACCTAATAAGAGGTTGAGAAATTGGTAAAAAGTCGGTATTTCCTTGTGCCCAAGTCGGTTCGGTTTCGGTATTCCCTCACGGTTTTGGTTGGTATTTGGTTTGGTATCGGTATTCCGATTTTCCGTAATTGATACCACTAACACGAACACCCTCAAAAGTAAAGGGGGAGTTTGTGCCATCATTGAGCTGGGCTCGGGATTCCCGAGCTCTTATTCCACGCCGGCTTGGCTTTGGAGCCGCCACAGACGGCAGAGGTCAAGGTCACCGCTATGTAGGTCAGCTGTGGATTTGCTGCGCCCAGGCACCCCCACTTAACCCTATTCCTGGCGGGGGGGCCTCAGGAGCCCCCCCCCCCTGAGGTTTTTTGGTTATTTCTCCCAAACGCGTTGAGCTAGGAAGCTCAAATTTTCTGACTTTTCCTAAAAGGCTTCTACGCAACATGTCTGTAAATTTTGAGTTGATCTGACCTCAGGTCAGGTCACCAGAGGCGGTTTGGTGACCCTACCTCAGAAAAGTTTGCAATCACGCCAGAGCTAGAGTTTTTGACCGATCAGTTTCTTCTCTTCAGGCTTTAGTTAGCCCTAGAACGCCTAGGGGGGGGGGGGGTGTATCAACCCCCCCCCCTGAGGTTTTTTCGAAGTGCACGCTAAACGGCTTGTCGTAGCGGGCTGAAATTTGTAATACCCTCTGGGGCAACCTTTGCGCATCTTTTGCCGAAAAAAAAAATGATCGGGTCATGTCAGGTCACGGAGTTATGACGTCATAAGTGGTACAGCCTCCGGCCGGATTTTCACAAACTGAGTGCCAACGCCCGAGGTTTCCTGCCGGTGGTACGGACATCGGTTGATGGATCGTGATGAAACTTCCCATGCATGTTGGGGCAAGTATTGGCTATCATATGGTATAAGAAATTTGACCGGGTCAGGTCAGGTCACGGAGCTATAACGTCACAAGAGGAACAGCGTCCGGTACTATTTTTGAAAAGCGCCCGAACCACTATTTTGCTAATTCTTGTCACCTCAATGGGAATATGCAGCAATATTAGCTTCTATAGGGAGCAAATGGACCTCCCAAATCCAAAAATACAATCAGATTTCAAAAATTTAAATTTTGATTTTTCGAATTTCTGCCGCCGACTGTGACCTTGCCGACTTCCGGCGCTCCCAACGCGCCATTTTTAGAGCTAGGGAAACGAAATACATACCAAACGATAGCGAATTGATCAAGGAACACGATAGTGAAGGTTTCAAGTCGATATCTCCCACCGTTTTGCCGCAATCGCCGCCGAAAGTTGAAAAAAGTCTATTTTTCGAAAATTTGACCTTTGACCGGTCAAAAGTAGGTCAAATGTTGACCTAGGACCAAAAAATATACCACCAATCGCGAGATCTCGTTGAGAGCAATCCGTTGGTTTTTTCCGCTAAGCTCTACGACCTTCCGTTTCGAAACGCCAGGGGGGGTCGTAACAACCCCCCCCCCTGGTCGTTCGTGTTATGAGAAATGGCCTGGTCGTGCGAGGGTTAGGGTACCAGTATGTGCAATTTGTATATCTCGGAATTTTGATATCGGTGACCTAAGGTCAGGTCAGTTTCGCGACCTCCCCATTATAAGTCAATGGGGGGAAAATCAACTCCCTGTTTTTACCACTAAAACGGGTCGGAATGGCCCCATATACCATACATGACTTCATATACGATCAACCTTCACTACCTTGAGGTCTGTTTTGCTGTTGGGCAGCTGTGAGGTCATGTGACGTCATCAAAGGTCACCAAAGGTTTTTGGCCAATAACTCCGTACAGGAACAAGATACAGACGCGTGGATGGTCTCATTGTGTTCAGCTCGGCAAGACGCATCGAATGATATACATTATACATGATGACCTCGAGGTCACGTCACCTGAGGTCAACCTTTGACCTTGACCTTTCGAAGTCAACATATATATCATTCGACGCGGATTGACGAGAGGATCACGATGATGCCCTTAGTTTGTTCCTATCTTGACTAATTCGAAAGTTATTCGAGAAAAACTCTCTCCATATCTAGCGCCGCCATTTTGACTTTTTCGACCCCTGTGACGTCATCTTTGACCTGACCTGAAAATGACCTTAGTAAAAATTGTAGATCTTTACCGTGCGTATCCGATGCCGTTTACCGTTTGTCGCTACGATGTGTAATTTTTGAGATCTGAAGGGCGGCCGAATCGGCCCCCCCCCCCGCCCGCCAGTTTCTTGTCCCGGCGGAGCCCGCCAGGAATAGGGTTAAGCAAAAGCTTTCATAAATGATCAAAACACGTTTGCGAGTGCCATTTCTGTAAAAGTTGTGTATTCAACACCTCGTCCTAAGCCTCTCATACACTGACAAGAGGTTTAAACACGGTCTATTGTAGAACCTTACTGAGCTAATCTACTTTCTAATCATGTATTTCAATCGCCATCAGCCCGTGATATCCCATGAGCGACACCGAACCGGACATATCCGGTCCAAACCAACCACAGCCGACCGGACCACCGACGGTCCGACACAGTGACGGGCGAGGTCTGATATCGCCTGGACCGGACACCCTCACAGCTAGCTACAACCACTCTCTGGTCTGACTGAAACTACAACACAACAGCACAGCGGTGTGAGCCAGCGTGACGTCACGTCACAACACACGTGACGTCACCACGGCGGTACCTCCGGCACGGTGACAACGGTTTACCGACGGCTGGACAGTGGCCTGGAGCGTGATAAATCTCGGATACTGAATATAACTACAGTCTATCAAAACAGTGTCAACAAACGTAGCAATCTGTGCTCAAATGATCAAGCATTTAGGTGGCCACTCAACCCAAACCAGCCTGGCACGGCGGTAAAGTACCCACGGACCTGAGCCGATGGGACAGGGCGGCTCGAAGCACTTCTGGATATGAAGGTCTAGACGTGCATTGTGTACAGCACAGCGCTGCCGACGGAACACGGTGCTGCCATCTGTTGTCGAGTTCCGACACTGCCGCCGGCACCGAAGCGGACGGGGCACCGGGAGGCTACTCGAAGAAGTCATCAAAGCTGTCATTGTGAGGCTCAGACTCAGTACGCTTGTCCAAAAAAGACTCTGGAAACAGAGCACGTTAGATTACACACTGTTTGCTAGTGATGTCACATCGGGCAACTCAAACTGATGACGTAACTTACGATACAGAAAAAACACAATGGCAATGTGTGTATCCATGACTAATGACGTCACGAGGGCTGATACTGATACTGTGACGTCACTTACGGAGATACACGTAACCAAATGTGCGTCAGTACTGATGACGTCACGTGCGTCAGTGTGCGTGTCCGAGAGGCCGGTGGCGCCGTGTCGGCTGGTGTGGGTGGTCAGAGACGCCGTCACTTACTGGAGACATTGAAATTGATGGTACGGGCCTGGCCACTGTTACATCCTAGGTCTGTCTCGTGCAGGGCAGTCAGGACGGCCTGGCGGTTTTCGAGTGAGGAGGTTAGGTACAGGTTCTTCAGTTTCCTGCATGTCACTGCCATCCTGTAACAGATCATAACAAAACCCAACATGTCAGTATACGGGACACAGTCACACAGTGGCACCAGCGCAGCGGGCGACTCAACACGGAGACACCATGCAGGTCTAATGCCATTCATAACAGAACATGTGCCTCCGGCTATCTCTCCCAGTCTTGTCCTGTAATTTGCTACGCACGTTTCACACGATTCTCTTAGAGCCTTATCCCGCGCCCCGTAGGGGGGAAGGGGCCGAAACGGCCCCCCCCCCTGTCCTTTTCGGTCGATATCTCCTAAACGGCTGGAGATATCGCCACCAAACTTTCAGGACCCTTCCGGGCATCAATTTTACACATTGTGACCAAAAATTTTTCCAGAGGCTGTGATAGGTTGGCCACAAATGATGTCACAGTGACGTCATGTTCTGTCAAATTCGACCGAAAAAAGACCTTCGCGAGAAGACCTGTCAGGCCTACAGCTTTGAAGATACAGAAAAATGGTCAAGACATAAAAGGTGTAGAATTGACAGGGCTACAAAACTGCTATCTCGGATTTTTGAAATTTTTGAGTTTTGATCCCCAGAAATAAAAAAAACATTTTTTTGGATATATTAGCCAAAAAATCCAAAAAGTTTTTTGAGTTTCGAAAAAAACGGAATATATGTGATAGTACCTACCGTCTTCTATCTACATACCAAATTTCAGATCGATACCTCGTTTTTTGGCCAAGTTATAGCGAAAAAACTGTTCAAAAATGATGACGTCAAATTTTCAAACTCAATTTTTGGCAATTCTAGAACTCGTAGAGCAAAACAAAGACCACCATTAGACGACTCCCCGTGACAAGCTGCATCGAATGGATACCCATTTTATGCAAAAATATCAACTTTGAAATTTGACCTAATTTGACCTGACCTTGACCTGACCTTCACCAAAACGTGACCTAGGCTGGCCCCAAAGGCTGCCTAACCCACATAATCGCATTTGTCATGTAAAATGGACCATAAAACATGTATCACACGACACATTCATATTGTGACCCCCGGTGACCTGACCTCGCTGTGACCTGACCTGGTATCAGTGACCTCAGATAGCAAAGTATGTGTTTGACGAACAATATACCATCGATGGTTTTCAATAAATTACCAATTTACTCGATTTCACAGCACATTTCTTGAATTGCCTGTGAACGGTGAAAACCTGACCTTTGACCTGAGCTGTGACGTCATCGGTTTGACCTAATTCAATGAAATTTGGTCACAAGGTAGTTCCCGGGTAGGGCTATCAAACGCCGTTTGAATTTTGAAAATCGGCCGGTAACTTTCCAAGATCTTAGGGGGGGGGCGAAACGGCCCCCCCCCCCTACGGGTGGTAGGGTCCGCCGGTAGTCCTACGGGGCGCGGGTTATACCACCCAATATTATGTCCATATGCATATTAATACCAGTCTAGTCCAGATAACGTAGCTGCCCATCCGTTTGTCCGTCTGTCTGTCTGTTTGCATCGCATCTACACAATCGCCTGAATAAATAAGCCTGTCTTTGGATGCCTATTCTTCTGTAACGAGTTTGTTTCCATTTCCAGTGTCCCCGTGCCCGGATTACTATGTAAACCTCTATCAAATATCCATTTTCTGGGTTTATTGCGGTCTATCCAGATACACATAAAATCCGCCGTCACCGTCTTGCCGACTGACCTGCAGACCGCTGCCACCTCTGACTGGGTCAGGGCAGGGATGTCCGTGAGGGACCGGGTGTCTTGAAGATCCAGTGTATCCAGCTGGGAGCAGCCGTGGAGGGCGGACAGCACAGTGCCGCAAATGACGCCGGATCCGACACCGACGTCCTTCAAGCTGGTGAGGGCAGCCAGGAGGCGTCCTGTCGCCTCCGTTGTCACGGACAGTGACTCTGTAAAACATAAAAAAAGACACACATGTCGGTCTTAACCCTCGCCCGTATTGGTGTTTTTCCAGCCGCGAACGTATAAGGGGGGGGGGGGGTCCGTTGGACCCCCCTTGCCGTTTCGCCCCTGATCGAGCTAGAGCTTCGCGGAAAAAAACGAGCGTGTTGCCCGTGACGAGAGGAAGCCGGTGGTACCCAATTTTAAGGTCCTAAGTCATTGGTTGACCTTGCAGGTCAGGTCAATGACCCCAAAGGCGGGAAAATCGGGACCCGTTAGAACGTCGTAAAGTGTGGCTGCTGTGGGGTTTTTCGGGGTGCTGATCACGAATATCATGTTAGTTTTGATCACAGATGATGTCTTCATGTATTTAAGCCAGGTCGGGTCAGGTCAGGTCAGGTCAACCGGTAAGGGTATATTCGTAGTAGGTGGCAACCGCCTCTGACAGCTTCGTAACATGTTACGAAGGCACCAAAACTACTTCGTAAATGTTCATATGGTTGCTGAATTCGAATTCTGCTCCAAAAACTGGCCTAGAAACATGTAAAACTCGAAAAAGTGAACCGAGGTCATCAAAGGTCAATGACCTGACCTGACCTTCAGGTGACCTTGACACCCACCCTAATGCATGGGAGCAACATCATATCACATGTTTGAACGCTTGAAACCACGAAAAGACTGCAAACGCGCGGCTAAAGCGAGCCGACATACGCCGAATCGCGATTCCAGCCAAACATGGTCTCGAAAAGTAGGTCACAGGTCAAAGGTCATTTGGGTCAGGGTCATGAAATTTTCAGGATAGGTGTTAAATTGATGAACGCGAGGGTACTGAAAGTTTCGTCGCGATCAGCCGCTTTTTACGCGAGTTATTCGCGAAAAACCATGGGGGGGGGGTCCGTTCGACCCCCCCCCCTATACGGGCGAGGGTTAAAATGCATAAGCTGTCCAACAAAAGTAGACATAATAATTTTAGGTAGGTAATGTAGAAGCCGCACGTCGGTCTGGAAATCTATCTCCTGCGTCGGTGGCCAGTGTTAGGCTAAATAGGTATAGCTATTGTTACATGAGCAATTGTAAGCAGAGCCATGGTAACTATGTGTGTGAAGGAAATACACTCCCTCTCATATGCCATGATTAGGATATCTTAGCACTGATGCTTTCCTTATATTACTGCTCACCAATTATTGCCAGTCCTGTGACTGTGCGGGTCGCCAGGACAGCCAGCTGCTCCAGGAGTGTGTCCGTGCCTTGTTTGATACCGACATCCAGTCCAGACGTCGGCCATCGGGGGTGATACACCGGCGTTTCAGTCATCCCGGATCCTGTGGAGAGTGATACAATCAGCCGTAAACCCGCGCCGTGACGGGAGGGGGAGAGGAGGGGGTTTTCATAAAACAAGCGCATCTATTTTTTATATTTGCAGAAAATTGAGAGGATGTTTATCCGCCATTTCTCTATAGAAAGCCATTTTGACACTTTCAAACGTAGTTTTATCGGTTCCTATCGAAAACTGAATTGTTGACACAAGTGATCACAAGTGACACAAGTGATGACGCAAGTGATCCTAAATTTTACTTATGAGGTCGTATAAGATCGACGACGATATTCGACGATTCGACGACGAAAACTATTGAATTTTGATAGATAAGCAAACAATGGATCTATGCTAGCTCCTTGAACCTTGAAAATGTTGCGCTCAACAATACGGAATCACAAGTATGTAAGTTGACCGCCAGCTATGAAGCCGATCTCGGACCAATTCATGAAACTGATATTTTACTGGTCAAACTATCGTTCATCATTCGACGCGTCTCGACAAAACAAGGATCAGATGCTGGTAAAAGCACTGCCGTTTTGTGACAGTGATGCAGTTCAGGTGAATATGGCTGACCTACAGTACGGACCAGCGCGGCGATTTCTTATCTGAGCTAGCGTGACGTACGATAGTAACTAACGCGTTCCAACATCGCCCGTTAACCCTTCTCACCAGTGATGTCCAGTCTCTTCAGCGACTTGGGCAGCAGCCGCAGCCACTTGCCGGAGCTGTCCACGGGTGGGCTCACATCGAGACGCTCCAGAGCCTTCAGCGGCTCCAGCAGCGCCTCCAGCTGCCAGTCGCTGATGCCGGCTGGCAGCGTTAGCTCACGCAGACTGGAGGCGTTGGCACGAGCCAGCCGACGCAGGGCAGAGACTCTCAGCTTGAAGCCGCGCAGGTTAACCTTCTGCAGGGCGTGGCAGGTGGCCGCTGGAATAAAGCAACACCAGTCAGTGAAGAACTGATTGCTCATCATATGGACAAGCAATGACAGTTGCAGCGGGACAAAGCGTACCAGGTCGTGTGTAGCGCGTTTCACACGGTACTCACCGACCAGTCGGAGGTCGGTGTCCGTCTCAGCGGTCGGCGCCTGCAGTTCGGTCATCTTCGGCTGGTCCTGCACCTTCAATGCGAGCTGTAGGCTCGTGGCCGGCGCAGGGACTTTTCCACCGCGGGTTTTCTGATCGGTTAGCTCCCGCCGACAGTCGCCGACGATATCGTCGACGGCGGACCGCCACCGACGGCAGACTGTCGGCACCGACGGAACAAAAAGGAGCAGATGACATGCCAGCGGCGAGCTTCGGAATGAAAACTCGCATACAGGGAGCGTTTGCAACACTACCAAAACAAGTAGGTGATAGCTAATAACCACGTTGTGGTTTTTGGTGACCTTTCGCTTCTCTAGAAACCCTCCATCCACGTGCAGACTTCTGATCAGATTGTCCCAAAGCCGACCACTCCGCTGGCTAAGAAGAAACACCACATCGATTGTATGTTATTGTGAAACACGATACATGACCTCGCCAGTCGCCAGGGCACTCACCCCGCCTGGCGCGGAACATCTCCCAGCAGCCCATCTTGCTCAGCACCATCTTCAACAGCTCGTGGTCCAAGAGGCAAATGGCAGAAGCCCATCGCGGTGCAGCCTCTCGCACGTCGCCGCCCGCCAGTCCCGCCTCCTCCTCAGCTTGGGTTATGACGTCACATGTGCTGATGGCGCCACACTTGTCACAAGTGTCGCCCTTCGGTGAAGCCACCTCCTCGCCGTCACTGTGTTGAGATGACGTCAGTGTGACGTGGTGTGACGTCATCAGAGCTCTCAGGTCGATCATAAGACAATAATTTCCAGAAGTCTCCACTTCCAAGACAGTACCGTACCATCGATCTGTGAAAGCCCATCTAGTGTCCCCTCCCCCCAATCCCTGTCCCATCCAGCAGCCTGCTGCCTCACAGTCACTCACAGACAAGTTGTCTACAAAACCAAGTTGTCTCTTACAAACTGTCTAGTGTCTAGACAACCGGTTTGGGTCTTATATCCCGCGAGTTGCTGGGGGGGGGGGCGTTAAACGCCCCCACTTTTTTCGCCGGGCCATAGCATAAAAACGGCGCGCCGCAGGCGCGCCAAATTTTGGGTACCTGTAGGGAATTGATTGAAGTTTATTGTGACAAAGTTTCAAAAAAATCGGTCGGAAAATTTTTGAGATATCGAGGTTTTAGTGACGTCATGATTTTTGAATTTTCGACCAAAAACGGCGTATGTTCAATAAATCATATAAAATCACAGAATAGACATACAGACATGCCGTAAACGCCATTAGACTGCCAATACCATGAACAATCAAATGGCTATCTTCCATTATTGATTATCGTTCCGCATTTTCCAAAATCTTGAACTGAATCTTGACAATTTCTCGTGACTACTTCACGACTATGATACATGCATTTCTTAAATTAAGCTTTTTTAGCCAAACACGTACACATATGATAAAATGAATGTCACCATCGTGTTCTACGCCCCAAATTACCCCTAAAACATGTGTCACGGGCTGCGAATATCAGTTTTGATTTTCGGGGATATGTGCCTACCCGGTTGACCTGACCTTGACCCTGACCTATGCTTGACTGACCCCTACATGGAGCTGACACTCTTGTAGGCCTTATACGATGGATTGTGCACCATTTTGACAGAGTTTATGACGAGAAGCGCCCATTGCAAAGTCCTGAAGTCCATGCTACTGAAAGGCCGATTTCAGGTGTTTGACCTGACCTTGACCCGACCTGTGACCTCAAAAGTCAACTTTAAAGTACTCATCTGAAGCGTCTCGTCGCGCTCTTTCGTTTGCCGCCTCGTGCGTTTCGCTGCGCCTATTGGTTCTCGAGTTATCGGCTGGGGGCGTTTAACGCCCCCCCCCCCCCCCAGCAAACGGTGGGTGGCGAAATACCCCAGCAACTGCCGGGATATGTAGACAAACTGTCCATAAAACCGGGTCAATATCTACAGACAAACTGTCTACACAACTGGGTTGACTCTTACAAACGAGCTCTCTACATATCCGGGTTGACTCTTACAAACTGTCTACTCGTACACAACCAGTTTGACTCTTACAAACTATTCACAATCCCTTGCAGTCAAAACCGACTAACACAACCCCCTAACGTCATCCCAACGACTAACCCCCAGTGCCACTGCCACCCCTGCTGCCTCTCAGTCTCACCTCTGCGAACGGTCGGATGGCGCCGCTCGCCGGCGGACCTCCTGCCGCAGCTCCTCCACGACGACCTGGCGAGTGGTGCGCTCCTCGAGCACAGCCTGCCGCAGGCGGACCACCTCTTCACGTAGATGGACCACCTCCTGACGCAGTGTGGCGTTGTCTCCCTGCAGTGTGGCGTTGTCTCTCTTCAGTGCGGCGCTGTCTCCCTTCAGTGTGGCGTTGTTTCCCTTCAGTGTGGCCACTTCTCCCTCCAGTCCGACCACTTGTTCACTCAGGTGGTCGCAGTTTTTCTTCAGAGTGGTCAGTTCCCCATCCAAACGGACAATGTCCTCTTGATGGCGATGTGTCATTTCCTCCTTCAGAAGTGCCATCTGTTCTTTCATCTGGATAACCTCCTCTTGGAGCTGCCTGGGCTCCATATCTAAAACAGAGAACGTACGGTATATAAGACTGAGAGAACGGTTTCACCTTGAAACAGTCTAATGGCCTTAACGACATGTGTCTAAGGCTTGTGGTAACCACGTGTGTCGCCGGCCGGCACGGGAGTTCCCGGCGCAGACCGATTCGCGCGCCGACTTGTGACGTCGCTACCCCGCCCCGGCGCTGGGGGGGCGGCCCAGGACGTGTCTGTTCGTGAACTTTGTCCCATCACGATGCGACCGCGTGGCTGCGGCCTGCGCTGCCGCAGTGCGTCGGCCAGTGACCAATCCGCGCTCCGATCGGCAGCCACGTGGTGTCCGAGTGCTTCTGCGCATGTCTGGGCCCGGCCCGCTGCGTCGGGCCGCGCGCTCCCAGGGACTTCTGGCCGAGCTCTTGGCCCGAGCAGACGCGTCACGTCTGGCTCCGCGATTTGGCCCGTTCTGTCCGGGATTTATAACTTAGATTAGGCAGGGCATATTTGGCAAACTTGGATTTCATTCTCGTCTCTTCGTCGCTCCATTGTCTGATTCGCTGTTTTGGTTTTTGACTTCGTTTTGGTAATTTAAATATAACAACCCGCTCTTTTGATTAATTCTTTTACTTGGGGCCGTTTGGATCGAACTGATTGAATTTTTGGAACACGCACCAGGTTGATATTCTCCATTTCTGATTACCGTAAAATCCAGTCACTGATATGTGGTGAACAGCCCCACAGCACCACATATTGGTGACCCCCGACGTGATTCTTGTTCGATTTTTTCCATACTTCCGGGTTGTCGCCTCCGCTCATTCCCGAATCAATTATTTCATTTTATTCCCCCACATGGATTGCTATTCCGTCGCTCCACAGTGGCTTCTGCGCCACTTTTCCATGATGGTTTCTGTGCCATCTCTCCGCCGTGTGATTAGTTAGGCATTTATCTTCTCGGTGATTTTATTTCGGCGTTCCATTGGCTCTTTCGGATTTTGCACTCGGTGTTTTAAATTTTAATTGTTCAGTGCATTGCAAACACCGGCTATACTTTTAACGATCATGACGAACGAGGGCACGATGGAACCCGCTCATGCTGAGCCGGTCCATCATGTCTCGATCAAGCCGCCGGTTTTTATGGACACCGCGGTTGACGGCTGGTTTGCTATTATGGACGCCCAATTTAACATTGCCAAAATCACCAACTCGCAGACCAAATTCTACCACGTTCTCTCTGCCCTGCCTCCGGAAACCATCTCGCACATTCCGCGTGCTGTCTTGAGCAACAAAAATTTCTCTGAGCTACAGACAGCCGTCACTGACATGTACGAAAAGACAAAGCCAGAGATGTTTGAGAAACTGATCAGCAAAACGCGTCTGACGGGCCGCCCCTCACTCTTTCTAAGCGAGCTCAGAGAGGTAGCCGACAAGGTTGGTGTCGGAGACGATCTCGTTCGGCACAAATTTATCCAGTCGCTACCTACAGGCATTGCTACGGCCCTGGCTTCTCAGCGCGAGCTCTCATTGTCGCAGTTGGGCAAACTCGCGGACGAACTGATGCCTCTTGTGCAAAACTCAGCTGCTAACATGGTTCACTGTCAGGATCAGGACCCACAGTCTGACTCACAGGCGTTCCTTGTGGCTCAGCAGCACCCAAGGTACCACAGGGCCACTCAGCCGCAGAGCCGAGCCGCCACACACTCCCCTGCTCGTGATGCTCGTGATTCAAGGGCATCTCTCGGTCTCACGCCGTTCCATCCTGACCAGAAGCCGAAAGTATGCCGTGCTCACCTGTTTTTCGGCAGCCGAGCACGCACTTGCAAGCCATGGTGTCACTGGCCCGACAAAGCTGCTGATCTGACCATGCAGCCGTCCTCACGAGCTGCATCTCCCTCCCGTGCAGTCTCAGAGTCGGGAAACGAGAGGAGCAGGCCGTAAACGCAGCCCTCGGCCTGCCGCTCCTTAGGGTCACAGCCAAGGTGAATGATCAGCCCCTGAAATTCATCGTGGATACTGGCGCTGGTGTATCCCTGGTTCCACCCTCCTATGTGAATGGAACTCTAATTCACCCGTCCGCCGTCTCGATCACGACTACCAGCGGGCAGCCACTGCGCGTGCATGGCGAGGCCACTCTCGATATTGTCCTCCCCACACTCCGACGCAGTTACACATGGACATTTGTAGTGGCTGAAGTGACAGAGCCGCTACTCGGTAACGATTTTCTCGCTCACAACTCGTTGGTTGTCGATTGTGGTTCACAAGTTCTCCGCGACTCCACCACTCTGCTCTCTGCTCCCGGTGTACCGACGACCGGGCAGTCTGTTCATCTGGTGATAAACGATCTCGCTCAGGTGCCTGAGGCAGTGCGGCCCATCCTCGAGGATCACCCCGCTGTTCTCAGCCCTAACCAGCCGGACTACACAGACTCGCCAATCAAAACCACTCACTTCATCGACACCGGCAGCGCTCCACCCACGTTCGCCAGCCCACGCAAGCTGCCGCCCGACAAACTAACCGCAGCAAAGCAAGCACTCGATGTGCTGCTCAAAACAGGAGTGATTCGTCCGTCTAGGTCCCCGTGGGCCTCACCCATCCACATGGTTCCGAAGAGTACCCCTGGTGAGTGGCGTGTCACCGGTGATTACCGCGCGCTCAACGCCGTAACCAAACCGGACCGCTACCCACTGCCGCACATTCAGAGCCTCTCAACCAAGCTCCACAACGCTCAGTGGTTCAGCAAAATCGATCTGCTCCGTGCATATCACCAGGTGCCTATGAACCCCGCTGACTCAGAGAAGACGGCCGTCACCACGCCCTTCGGCTTGTACGAATACACCTTCATTCCAATGGGGCTTCGCAACGCAGGTGCCACATTCCAGAGGGTCATGGACGGCATCTTCCGAGACGTGCCGTGCGTATTCGTCTATCTCGACGATATTCTGGTATTTTCCGAGAACCAGGAGCAGCACGAGAAAGATCTGCGCCTCGTGTTCAGCAAGCTGGCTGAGCACAAGCTTCGCATCTCACTGGAGAAATGCGAGTTCATGAAAAGGTCGCTCGTTTTCCTCGGTCATGACGTCACCAGCACAGGTGTCACACCTCCCAAGGCCAGAGTGAAGGAGATTCTGGACCTCCCTCTACCGCATGACTCAGAGTCACTGCGTCGCTATCTGGGACTTATCGGCTTCTACCGGCGTATGATTCCGCGATTCGCCGATGTCACGTTCCAACTGACCGAACTGATTCGACTCAACCCAAAAAGCAAAGAACTGGCGTGGACAGAGGAACAGACTCAGGCGTTCAGTGACAGTAAAGCGGCGCTGGCCGGCGCCTGCACTCTTCCACACCCAGTGCCACACTGCGAGCAGTACGAGCTCGTTACTGACGCATCACAAGTCGCGGTGGGTGCCGCGCTCCATCAGATTGTGGACGGAGTACCCGTTCCCATTGGATTCTTCTCACGGAAGCTCAGTCAGGCCCAACAGAAGTACGCCGCGTATGACAGAGAGCTACTCGCGGCTTATCTGGCCACACTCCACTTTCGTGACATGATCGAAGGCCGCCACGTTACCCTGCGAACGGACCACAAGCCACTCGTGCGCGCTTTTCACAGCCCGCACACGGCTAAGTCTGACCGCCAACAGCGCCACTGGTGTGTCGTCACGGAATACATCACGGAGGTCTCGTACATTCGTGGCAGTGACAACGTGGTGGCGGACTGCCTCAGTCGCCCGGTAAATGCAGTGTCCCTCGATGCATGTGACCTCCATTATATCGCGGTGGCTCAGAAACAGGAAAAGGAGAGAGACGCCGACAGTGCCGATTCAGAGCACCAGGATTCCGAGTCAGGTCCAGGATCGCGCTCAAACCCGCAGGACACCTCCCGATTGGAGCCAGTAACACTGTCTGGCGACATCACAGTCCTGTGTGAAAACTCTGGACCACATCCACGCCCGTACGTACCAGAGGCATGCAGGCGCGCCGTGTTTGATCGTTTCCACGGCCTGTCACACCCGGGTAAGAAAGGCACCACCCGCCTCATCAGCTCACGCTATTTCTGGCGTGACATGCGCCGCGACATTGCTCGATGGGTGAAGGAGTGTGAAGCATGCCAGGAAGCCAAGGTACACAGGCACACTCGTTCTCCGCCCGGTCGATTCGATGTGCCCTCACAGCGGTTCGAAACTGTACATATAGACATAGTCGGGCCGCTGCCCCCGTCAGTACCTCACGGGCACCCCTTCACCGCACCATTTCGTTATTTGTTGACATGCATCGATCGCGCCACGCGTTGGGTCGAGGCCGTGCCGTTGGTCTCGATCACCGCGGAAAGTGTAGCCTCTGCTTTCCTCGACACTTGGGTGTCCCGGTTCGGAGTGCCACTGCATGTAGTCACGGACCGCGGTTCCCAATTCGAATCAGAACTGTTTTCACACTTGTCTTCAATGATAGGTTTCCATCGCCTCCGAACCACTGCTTATCATCCGACGTGCAATGGAATGGTGGAACGGGTCCACCGAACGCTCAAAGCCGCGATCAGGGCGCGCCGGCAAGAGTGGCTGCGCGCGCTACCAGTAGTTATGCTAGGTATAAGAGCTATGCCAGCAGAGTCGGGTTTTTCGGCATTCACTGCCGTCACAGGCGCGCAGGTGCTGTTTCCCCGCTGCGCCGTCGAAAAGGTCCCTGTCGGGACAAAGTACGTCCAAGAACTGGCAAAGCGTATGTCAGAAATCGATTTCGTCACACTCTCACAGGGCTCGAACCACGCCCGCACACCACCGACGCACGTGCCACCCGATCTCATGACATGCACACACGTGTGGGTACGCGTTGACCGCGTGCGGCACTCTCTGGAGTCCCCGTACCGCGGCCCCATGCGAGTCATCAGACGCAGCCCTAAAGTGTTCACGTTGGAGCTGCCGACTGGCGCCCACGACACTGTAAGCGTTGACAGACTCAAACCGGCACACATGCCGCCACCTGAGGACACGCTTGGTCCGAGCAGTACCGAGCCTACGGCTCCGGAGCAGCGGCCGTCACCGTCGACCTCGCTCGGGCCCCTCGCCACTGGGGCGCCCGACGAGCCGACACAGACGCCGACGACTACAAGACCGTCCAGCAAGAGGACTTCAAGACCTGGAGTGACGTCTTCCGCATCGCCGGCCGAGGACGACAAGCCGTCCGCGGCTGCGCCGGTGCACACCCGCAGCGGCCGCCGCGTGCAGTTCCGGCCGCAACCGGACTTCAGATACTTTTAAGTGCGCCCGCGTAGGTACGTGCGTTCGAGGACGATCCTGATCGCGTGGTGCCGACAGTGAAGTGATAACTGCGTCGCGCGGTGTAGTGATTCTTGCGTCGCGCAGGACCGTGCAGTGACAATTGCGTTGCGCCGTACCGTGTAGTGATTATTGCGTCGCGCAGTGAAGTGTCGATCGCGTCGCGCACCGAGTGATGTGAAAAGTGATTGTTTTGGCTTATCGTGTATGCGCTCCGCGCTGAGGCGGTGAGTACTGTGGTAACCACGTGTGTCGCCGGCCGGCACGGGAGTTCCCGGCGCAGACCGATTCGCGCGCCGACTTGTGACGTCGCTACCCCGCCCCGGCGCTGGGGGGGCGGCCCAGGACGTGTCTGTTCGTGAACTTTGTCCCATCACGATGCGACCGCGTGGCTGCGGCCTGCGCTGCCGCAGTGCGTCGGCCAGTGACCAATCCGCGCTCCGATCGGCAGCCACGTGGTGTCCGAGTGCTTCTGCGCATGTCTGGGCCCGGCCCGCTGCGTCGGGCCGCGCGCTCCCAGGGACTTCTGGCCGAGCTCTTGGCCCGAGCAGACGCGTCACGTCTGGCTCCGCGATTTGGCCCGTTCTGTCCGGGATTTATAACTTAGATTAGGCAGGGCATATTTGGCAAACTTGGATTTCATTCTCGTCTCTTCGTCGCTCCATTGTCTGATTCGCTGTTTTGGTTTTTGACTTCGTTTTGGTAATTTAAATATAACAACCCGCTCTTTTGATTAATTCTTTTACTTGGGGCCGTTTGGATCGAACTGATTGAATTTTTGGAACACGCACCAGGTTGATATTCTCCATTTCTGATTACCGTAAAATACAGTCACTGATATGTGGTGAACAGCCCCACAGCACCACAGGCTATTCTGTGAGTTTGACTTTTTAACACATACCGTTGTTGGTCGGAAACTCAGGAGTCATGACGTCACTAAAACCTCAATCTTAATTTTCCCCACCAATTTGTTTGAAATTTCATCGCAATGAACTTCAATGGAATTCCTACATGCAACCAGAATTTGGCGCTTCTGCGACGCGGCCGTTTTTTTAAGCGCGGCGAAAAAAGTGGGGGGTTAAAGGGACTATCCCACCTTCAAAAAAGTCCCGTTTAGGATTCGGAAATGTTACTCAGGGTATTGTGACGAATTCTGCAAGTTATTACGCATTTTCATACTATACTTTTTAAGATATTTCGACTTTTATATTTAATCGTGACGTCATTTAGATCGGATCTGTGACGTCATGAAGGATTTACTTCATGCCAATGAGGGGGAAAATTTGGCAGCAAATATATTTGCTTTCAAATATGACGCGGCTCATACAATAACAAAAGTGTCTCTGATTTGGCATTTTGTAGTTGGCAATATGATACCTTACTGATGCCTAGTCAATGTAAGTTTGTTGGACTTCCTGCACATAAAATTCAAATACTAACACCACAATTCACATAGGAAAGGAGCATATTTTCACCATTACTTTTAACATGTTTGTGTCAATTTTAGATACAAAGTGAACAAGTCTGAAATCTGGATGAAAATAACAAACAATCTTTCCTGACCTAACCTTACCTACTTTCCTAAAATGTTTGTAATACTAACCTAAAGCCTCCATGCCAGATGCCTACAACCTACAAACCTTGCAACCAGCGTAATACATAACACCTCACAAGCTATTCCATTCCGAACCTATTGATTAGGATCTTTGGTATGCTTTTACTCATTTCATCTTAGCTTGCTATCATGCAGGTCTCAAAAGAAATGTTTTGTTTTTCCTTCTTAGCTGTTGAAATTTCTTTAAAGCCAACAAAACACACCATGCAGTAAGCACATGACAGAGGTCTCTGTCACTGCATGAGGAAACTCGCAATGCTGCTTGCAGGGTGTTGACAGAAAGTGATCAGTAAGTTATGAGTTTTGCATACTACTATATTTTTTTTTGTATACAAGGAGTTTGTCAGAGATTGAACATGTCAACACACACACATGTTCAACACACACACACAGCAATAACACACACACACACACACACACACACTACACAACATCGTACCCGATTGCTGCTGCCCGGGGCCCGGACACCTGGTGACTATGTCCGGAGGGCTGCTCGGCGGGCTGCTGGCGGGGCCGTCGTGACCTGTGGCCAGGTGGTTTTACTTTGCACTTAATTTTCGTGTTAATATTTCCTTTTTTGTGTGTTTTTTGTGCTTATGTTTTGTGGGAAAGGCGCTTTGATTTAAGCATTTTGCTTTCGCGCCGATCCGCGATTATTTTCGCCGATATTTTTTGTTCGTGGTTACCAAAATACACTGAATGAATGAAATGAATGAATGTCTCAGCATCATATTTGAATACTGACAATTATATACACGAGCATTGGCCCATCAATTGAAACTTGAGAAGTAGATAAGTGCGTAACAAAATGGGTTCATGAAGAGTAAATTGCCTATATAAAACATGCAATGTTCACTATATAACATACTGCATAAAAAACGTAGCCTGCTCCATAAAAATGTAGTCTGTTGACTGTTATGTCATGCCATGTCATGTCATTTTTGCGCCTATGGTCAAAGCCGCTTCTTCAATTTGCTTCTTCATTCAGTGCAGGGATGCAGCCAAGGGGGTGTTCATGTCCCACGGGTGTCATGGTCTCCCCCTGAAGGTGAAAAATAAAATAAAATAAAATAAAATAAAAATTAATTAAAATTAAAACAAATTAAATTAAAACAGCTGCACCACACCCCCAAAAATAGTGGGCCAAATCCGAGGAGTTTTCCTTTTGAAGGGGGTACGACACTAGGCCCCGACCTGTGGCCCCTCCCTCAGCAAAATCTTGCCTACGGTCCAATAATTTGTGTCTATGCTATATTTCTCTGACTATTCTATACAGGAGCTATGCAATCCTGTTTTATTTCTAGGTTCATGCTATTCTGAGGTGAAACATTTTACTGGCGTGGTGGCACTTTGTCAGTGTGGGGTGAGGTAGGTGTGGCTGTGATGTGGCTGACCCTGTCGGGTACCACTCCCCCTGACCCGCCCGCGCGTCCCGTCAGGTTGCCGTGTGGCGCGGCGCTCCGTCAGCTGCTGCGCCGGGGTTAGCGGCGCTCAGCAGCTATCAGCTGACACGGCGCGCCGTGCTCGATCGCCGCGGCGCATGTGCCGCTGCGCGACGCGCCGGGCGCCGACGGCCGTCGTCTGGCAGCAACAGCGCTGCCAGTGACTCGCTCTGCTGCTGCAGAAGCTGGACAAGGATCGTAGAATCGTGGCGTTCCATCCGTAAAAGTCGATCCCAGGCGGCCTAGTCGGAGAACAGGCCTAGTCGCCGGGCTGTCAGCCACCGAATAGCAACTGGCGCATCGCAACTCGGAGCTGGCCGCCCCGCCGAGGCTGAGCACACCACACCCTGGAGGACCTGCGCGCGCGCCGAGCTGGAGCAGGAGAGCGGGAGACGCGCGGCTGACCTGCGCCTCGAGCAGGGGCGCGCGCGGCTGGTCGAACAGGCGCGCAGGTGCTGCGGCGACTCGAGAAACAGGCTGAGTGTGAGGTGTCCTCCAGTCAGCAGGCCGCCGCTCAGATGCAGATTCTCAGGCTCACTGCCAGACTGTGGGGCGGCGCGCGCCACGCCACTTCAGCACGAGCCTGTGATCTTGTAAACTGTGAACACTGCCAGTTCGGAATTAAAAGAGTAAAATCAGTGAACGTTCACTTCGGCTTCATCGACGAGAGCAGCCATCCATGCGCGGCGCGCGCCGCCCCCGGCCGCCGCCGCCGTCGCGGCTGCTGTGCGGCAACACGTTCTGTTGCCGGTTCAAGTGTGCTGAGATCTTCGTCTGTCTCAGCAAAGTGTATGATGGGGCGGCCCGCGACCCGGCGGTGTTTTTCGCGACGCTGCCGGCCTTGCAGAACGGTGTGCCGGTGGCTGATTGCGGCCCGGCGGCCGGCCGTCCGGGACCCGCGCGCTCACCACGTCCTGTCCTGCTGTGATCAAACTGTGAACTCGGCGCGACACGACTGGCGAGCGCCGAGTGTGTGTTTATGTATCTATACGTGTGTGGAGAGGGGCGGCGGCAGTGGCCTGCCGCGCCACGCCGCCCGGGGAGTGTCCGCCGCGTATTTTGTGTGCTGTAGCCGTCCCTCGGTCCTCGCTCGATGTGCCGGCCGCCAGTGACGCTGCCTGCAGGACTGACGGGCGACGGCGGCCGGCTGGTATTCAGCTGTGCCCGGGTCGTTGGCGTCTGCCACCAACCGAGAACGGACCTGTGAACCGTGGCCAATTGCCGCAGACGCTGCCCTCTTAATGAATGTTGCTCGCCGTCGTGGACTCCACGAATCCCATGACACTGTCGTTCCCTTCACCAGCTAGGAGAGATACCGCAAACGTGTTGTTCGTTTCATTGAGCTGCGCACCATTGAGTGCGCCGAGAGCGCACCATTGAGTGCGCCGAGACTGACGTTATTTATCTGAATATTAATATATCCCTAAAATTATGTGCCACTTTCAATGAAAGCATACAAGTTCAAGTTCATTTATTCACGTTAATCCGCCTTCGCGGCTTTTCATCAACGCATGTCAATTAGCATAAAAACAAGTAGGCATGGGTAAAATACAGGCACACGATCATTCGTACACATCGTTAGAACAGTTGGTATGTAGGTTGTGGGTATCATGAGATCACTATGACTGTTTGCGTAGCATATGAGTTAAGGCGTAACAGGCTGTGGCGGCGGCCTGTTACGCCCTGTGTTTTGCGCATCCGCAAAACACAGGGTACGCATGAAAACTCATTCGATTTCTGTATATAAGAAACGAGACAGAGACGGGAAGGAATGTCACACCCGGGTGGCCGCAGGCGGCGCCCACACACTGGTTCCACTAAATCGTAGAACCACCGTCAACGCAATAAAATGGATATTAGATATCACAAAAACAAACGGCGCGGGCAGCTCGTGGCGGCGCAGTCGCCGGTCTCTCATCGCTGCACCACATTGAACATGTCGCGCACTGTGTTGGCTAGTTTGGATAACAGCCGCTGGGCGTCGCTGCTGTTGCGCGCCCGCCGGCCGAGCGCAGAGTGCCGGCGTGCGTCTCCAGGCGCCGCTGCAGGGCGCGGAACCGGAGCCAGCCGGTGGGCGGCACCTGGCCAGCGTGCGCGCCGCACGCCGTCAGCAGCAGGCCCAGCTTGTCCAAACAACTGCAGCTTGGCCTCGGAGCGGGCCCACTCGGAGCGCTGCGAGTCGGCCGCCGCTGCTGCGGGCGGCTCGCCCTCGGCACGGTTCTCGCGCTGTTTCTGCTGAATCTCCGAGACCAGTTGAGCGCTGATGGACGGGGTCAGGGACGCCGGCGGCTGCGGCCGCGAGCGCTGCCCGGTCCTTAGTCGCGTCACCAGGTCGTCGCTGCGCTTGGCGCGCTCGGAGAGGTTCGAGTACTCGGCGCGGCGCTGCGTGCGCGGACTGGGCACCGGGTGGCCGGCGGTATCACGGGACCGCCGCTCGACAACTGGTCCCTCAGGCCCGGCGGCGTCGGCGGGAACGTCGGGTCGACGATAAAGTCGGCCTCGATGTCGTCAGGAGGCGGCAGTTCCATCGGCGGCGGGGGAAACCCCAGCTCGGCAGGTTTCAGTTTCTGGCGCGAAGACGGCCGGCGCCGGTCGGTCGCCGACTCCGCGCCGGCCCCGTCCCCGCCGCGCCGGCAAACACTAGCGGACTGAGCCGCGACAGCCGCGGTCTCTGAAACTCACTGTTGGACGAGTTGGACCGCACCATGGCTGAGGGCTTCTTGGCGGCGGCGGCGGAAGCCGGCGGCCGCACGCCCTCTGCTTTCGTGTGACTGCGCAGCGCGCGGGCCTCGCCTGCCGCTCCCGCGGCCGCCTCGCCACCCTCCGCACTGCCGCGCAAACCGCTCTCCCGCAGCGAGTCCAGGAAGGCGCCGATGTGCGCGCCTTTGGGCAGCGTACCGTACAGTATGTCTAAAAAGAATGTACCGTCGCCACTACGTGGCGCTGGTGTCGCGAGCCGGTAGTTGGCTGAATCCGCACCAGACCACACATTCCCAAGCGCTAAGGTGACAGCTGCTCAGCGGCCGGTAGTAGCGTAAGCCCGAACCTTCGTGACACGACCCCGGGGGGGGGGGGAGGGGATCGGGCGGGGCAGCGCGTGTAGGGAGGGGTGCTCCGGTGGGCTGGCAGTTGTCGCGGCCAAAAGTCAAGGAGTCACACACCAAGCGAACGGACGCTGATGTGGGTTCGTGGGGATCGTGAACTTGTGTGTGGTAGGTGCGTCTTGCGATGCACGGGTGATACGCCATGGGTCTAAGCCAAATGATTCAGGGGAGAGCTGAAGAAAAACACCTGGTCAACTACGGCGAATAATGGTGCTGAAAAATGGAAAGTATGGGTCAATGCAAGCATTCATGATTATAAACAACTTTTCTGAGGACGCAAAGGCCAGCATTGAATAACTATATCCGGATCGAAATTAGCAGTGATTTATAATTACATGCCAAACTAATAGCGCTGCAAAACCCACCTAGTAAATTGTCAAGTCGGATTCATACCGACTTGAATTAAACTATCCTAAATTAGATTGTTAATTAACTTTCTAACACTGACGTTCTTTATCATATGATAAGCATGGGGTTAACCAAGATTCAGCATCTTCCGCGCTCAAACAATCACCCGTAAGGTTAGAACACTAATGGCCAGGGAAAAACAAGGTCGGGATTTGATTAACCTCGCAAAATGGTCACATGGGAAGGCGGCTCGGTGGTATTACGTTTGTCATGCTCAGCCGCGCCAAATAGTAGAAATATGCACAGTGTATACACAAAATATATACATTTTTCCGGGCAAGACCATTGTGAGGCCCTAGGGTCAGCTTATAAGACAAAACCCTTTTAGCTCATCTGTTTTTCGTCAATAACTCCCGATCAACTAAAGCTACCGAGTCGATAAAGCCACTAATGGACATGGAAAGACCTGCCAAATCGATTGATATGCAATATGACCTCCTTTGACCAGCTTCGTGACCTGACGGGCTGTGACCTGACCTTGACCCAAAGTTAACACCTTAAGTTGATCTCACCCGAAGAAAAAGTATACCATTCGACACGCCTGAGCTAGACAAACACGACGCGGCTAAAATCGCGGATCTGCGATCATTTTAAGCGAAGTTATTTACCAAAAACTGAACCTGTGCCTTGGACCACTTGACCTGACCTCAGAAGTCATCGGCTGACCCTAGTCCTTAAAATCGGAGACCAATCGCTGCATTTCGTAACGACGGACACGATCGTTTCTTTCGTGAGGCTCTAGTAGGGGCGAATCGGCGAAGGGGGTTGTTCCCTCAGTTCCAACCCCCCCCCCCAACGCCCCCTCGGTATTCAGAAAACCTGAAACCTGGTGAGGGTTAAAACGTTGCTCCTGAACGAGGAAGAAATGTAAAAGTCAAAGCTCTATAGACGTCCTGTAAAAATGGCCATAATAAATAAATTGGTTAGAGATAAGATGCTTTTTGAACGACTTTTTTCATATAAAATCGGGTGCTGGGACCAATCTCATGAACGCTTTAGAATGGACAGGGCGTCACTGGCTTATGTTTCGGTGCAGAAAACGGCTATTAAATGCAAAATGGTTTTCACGCATTTCAGTCAATTGTATATTAAAGGGACACTCCCACCTTAACATTAGTTTTGAGTTGAGATAGCCAAATTGGTGGCCATGGCCTGCAAATACCGGTTTGGGCACTCACAACATCGACAAATGCTTTAATTCGGATATATGGAATTTCAAACTTGCAGTTTTCGGATTCTAAGGGGCTAGTGCATTGGTATGCCCCCTTAGAATTTGTGACGTCAGCGGAGATCTAACGATTTTTAAATCTTTTACTAAAACGTTTGGTAGCACGCGGTGGTATATGCTGCTTTGCGCGCAACAAATGCCGCACTTTCAAATAAAGTCGCTAGGAACAGCGGAGATCCCAAAAAGTAAACAAAAGTAAAAGTCTAATATCTTGAAAACCGGTGAATATTTTTCGATGAAATTTGGTAGATATTCGTTTTCGCTCTTTCTGAACCGAGCGACATCACTTTCGTGCCAATTCATTAACTTTTTTGAAGGTGGGAGGGTCCCTTTAACGGTCCTAGTGGCCGAACTAAAAAAGTTCGGTAGCGTTTTGCATCTGTTACGCCCTAAGAAACTACACCATCTGTTGAAGTGCAGGGCGGCCTTATTTGAATGGGAGGGCGCATTATGCATCAATCGTGTGCTTCCGTTTGTTTTGGACTGCATTTTACCACATCCACTGCTGTGGTAAAATGCAGTGAATACGACATCATCTAATGCCGTGAATACGACAGCATTTCATTTATAAGATTGGGACAATGGAGTCGCGCCCCGCGAGCTCGGTTTTCCGCTCGGCCGCTACGGGCTGAGGAAGTCGATCTTCGCCTGAGGGCAGGACGGAGGTCAGCGAGGGAGCGCGGGGTCAGCCAGGTATCGCCCAGTGCCGAGCGAGTGCCGCTCCCTCCCCTCTCTTCCCCTCTTCTCCCCTCCCCACCTCGGTATAGATGGGGAGGGACCGAACTGCCAATGACATGCGAGCGGTCAAGGCCGCTCGCGCAGCAGCGACCCTGGCGGCCGGGTGCCGCAACTGGGATTCAGCCAAGTTACCGATTCGCCTCCTGTGGGAGAGCCAAACCAGGGGACATACTTTTTAGATATACTGTACCGCATGAAGGACTCGTTGACGTGGTGCTCCTCCAGCGGCGCCACCTGCCGTTCGTCCTGCTCGTCGTCGGGGACGCCTGCTCGGGTCATCAGCAGCGGCCGGTACCTTCGGCAGCGGCTCCTCTGCAGGGGCCTCCTCCAGCTCGGAGTTTTGACAGCTCGGAGCGCTGCGAGCTCAGTTTGCGCGGCGGCTGCGCCGGCGACGCCCTCCGAGTCCTCGGCCACCTCCTCCGTGTACGAGCTGTCCCGCAACGAGCTGTGGCGTGCACAGGGGGCGGGGACGGGGAACGGTCAGAGCTGGGGCGTGCACAGGAGGGGTTTGGACACGGTCAGAGCTGGGGTATATGCGGGAGGGCGGGGGGCGTGGACTATCGCAACTGCACCAATCGAAAATGCGACCGAGTCATATCCATACCCTTGAAACAAAAAGTTATAGAATTGTGACGTTACACTCAAAACACGACAAAGTATATCTCTACTCTAGTCTCTATGCTTTAACCCTCGCCTGCACATGCCATTTTCCCATCCTAGAACGCACATTGGGGGGGGCGGTTGCCACCCCCCCCCCGCGCCATTTCGTTCCTGTTGGAGATAGAGCTTCGCGGTAAGGACCAAAACGATTTTTTGGGAAGAGACGAATCCAATGATACCCAGTTTTACCTTCTCAGGTCAGTCATTGACCTTCCAGGTCAGGTCAAACTAAAAAATGTTGCTTTTTGTGGCCACCGTTGGAATATCACGTGCTGTGCCCATCATATACTGAGTTTGTGGTGCCAAGCCAGCTAAAACAGCTCTTTGTCACACTATCCGACTAGATTTTTACTGGTTGTGACCATTTCAGGTCAAGTTAGGTCAAGGTCAATGATATGTGTTTGTCTGTGTGTGTCTGTGTGTATACTGATGTGTGCACAGAATGGTTTGTGTGTCCCTATTACATGGCATCATAAACTGAGAAGCTTTTACCAAAAAATGCAGCAAAAAAACTTCACTTAACCCTCGCCCATGTAGGGGGGGGGGTTGGTGCAACCCCCCCCCTAAGGTTTTTCGGAAATAGTGCAAAAACGGCGGCGCGCAGCGCCGCCAAATTTTGGGTACCTTATGGGGCAAACCTTGCGCATCTTTTGATAAAAAAAATTTGACCGGGTCATGTCAGGTCACGGAGTTATGACGTCACAAAGGGAACAGCCTCCGGACGGATTTTCACAAACTGAGTGCCAACGCCCGAGGTTTCCTGCCGGTGTTACGGACATCGGTTGATGGATCGTGATGAAACTTCCCATGCATGTTGGGGCAAGTATTGGCTATCATATGGTATAAGAAACTTGACCGGGTCAGGTCAGGTCACGGAGCTGTGACGTCACAAGAGGAACAGCGTCCGGTACTATTTTTGAAAAGCGCCCGAACCACTATTTTGCTAATTCTTGTCACCTCAATGAGAATATGCAGCAATATTAGCTTCTATAGGGAGCAAATGGACCTTCCAAATCCAAAAATACAATCAGATTTCAAAAATTTAATTTTTGATTTTTCGAATTTCTGCCGCCGACTGTGACCTTGCCGATATCCGGCGCTCCCAACGCGTCATTTTTAGAGCTAGGGAAACGAAATACATACCAAACGATAGAGAATTGATCAAGGAACACGATAGTGAAGGTTTCAAGTCGATATCTCCCACCGTTTTTGCCGCAATCGCCGCGGAAAGTTAAAAAAAGCCTATTTTTCCGAAAATTTGACCTTTGACCGGTCAAAATTAGGTCAAATGTTGACCTAGGACCAAAAAATATACCACCAATCGCGAGATCTCGGCGAGAGCAATCCGTTGGTCTTTTCCGCTAAGCTCTACGACGCTCCGTTTTCAAACGCCAAGGGGGGGGGTCGCACCAACCCCCCCCCCTGCATGGGCGAAGGTGGCAGATCGCCGTTTACGGGCGAGGGTTAAAGGCCCCCCGTGCAGGCAAGGGATAAAGAATAAAGTCCAAAATTACAACAGCATCATCATACATCTGCGATCTCCACCTTACAACTGACTGAAGTATCATTGAAGTCGACCACCATTTTCTCTGACCTGCAATTCAACTTCCTTTATTAAAATAATAAACTCTTTTCAAACTTCAGGTTTGTTTTTGTGGGGAAATGTCTCGTTTTTTTCCCCACAAAGTTATCCCCAAAATTGGTGACAATTATAAATCAGCTTTCTTCACTTATAACTTATAAATATCAAAAGCAGTCATTTAGATTAAATTAATTTCATCCATTAGGTTTCTTAACTCTGCAAGAAAAAATTTCAATTAGAAATTGGCAAAATGTTCCTTTTCGTTGGTTGGTTGGTTGGTTGTGGGATAAGCACCATATCATATTGGGAGTGGGACAAAGGTGCTAATTGGAACTCTCACCCTGTTCTGATGATTATTATATGGGAAAAGCTCCCCTAGCTGAGCTGAATTGGGTAGAAACTGAGCTGAGCTGAATTGAGCAGAAACTGAGCTGAGCTGAGCTGAACGGAAACCGAGCTGAGCTGAGCTGAAACTGAGCTGAGCCGAGCGCAGCTGGTTTGAGCGGAACGTGAGCTGAAGTGAGCTGAGCTGCGTTTAACTGTTCACACTGAAATGGCATACAAAGTAAACCTCCCCCCTTGTACATCCTAATGGATCACACCACAAGTTTCTTTAAGAGCATCCTTGATTTTCAGTTTAAACAACCCGCGGTTAACTGAAAATCAAGGATGCTCTCAAAGAAACTTGTGGTGTGGTCCATTAGGATGTAAAAGGGGGGAGGTGCACTTTGTATGCCATTTCCTTGTCTGCAAACTTCTTGGGTCACATTTCTTTCATCTTTGTCTGACCTTCACAAGGCCTAGCTGACAAAAACTTGTGCACCGGACACCATGATTTGTGAAGGTGAAAAATGCAGCAAAACAAATATGTAGACAAAATGGAGAGAAATTTGCAAAAAATATTTGCTTTTACAATAATACATTGTAAGCACAAATATTTGTGGGATATCGTTCTTGAACCTTGCATAAAAAGGGAGAGGCGAAAAAGAACGAGATAAAGAAATGCCCTCCAGGCTCCAAGTATTTGTGTGGAAACCAGAACCGAAGACAATTATCGCCATATTGTTACCTTGCATGAATAAAATAATAAAAATGGCATTGCCAGTGCCTCGAAATTTGACAAAACTGGCACCTCCTGAGGCAAAAGCAGTCTATTAAAACTTACCTGAAAACTGTACCCTGAGTATTATATATTCCGCAAATGACAAAGCAAAGCCGAGGCATGACCAATTGAAACAAAATAAGTAGATCACTTATAATTCTAACTCATCATTATCCCACAACCAGAAAAAAAAACTCAATTTGAGACGTATCAGACGTATACTCTACTCACCGTGGTTATCTCTTGGTATACTCCAGCTCCGTGCGCCGACAACGCCAGCTTATTGGTAAATCAAGTGGTACTTGAATTAAATACGTGACAGGCGCTCAAAATGCAAATGACGTCATCAGATTGCCGTTAATGGTTAAGAGATTGGGCCTTGTACAAGGCCCATTTTCAAATGAAGGGAACGAATTTCTTCAACACCACGAGGCCGCGGGGGTTGCAACCTAGATAGATAGTGGTTTCTGAACCTCGCCGCAAACTTGGCTATCTCAACTCAAATCTAATGTAAAGGTGGGATAGTCCCTTTAACTCATCCAGCAGCTCACGGGTAAAGTAACGAAGTTTTCGAGGCACTATGATGCGGTACGTATACAGGGTGCGTCATAAGTTCTGGTACACTTTTTCTTTTAGTAATAAAAAGAGTTACAACAGGTTTACAGAGTTGAGTATTTCAGTAGAGGATCTTTATGAAGTTAAGTCAAAGCACGTGTGATATCATGAAAAAATATTAACTAGATGAGCCTTAATTAAACAAATGGTAACTGACCGCCCGACAGCTAAGTGCACACCATGCCGCCTTTCTCCCTAACAAAGAAAGTTCGCGGGGCCATCGCCTGCATGAAGATGGCGGATATCTCGGTAGCAAAGATATGTCGCACGCTTCGCTGCACGCGGAATCGTGTGTATCGGATGTGGACCCGGTACCAGGAGACCCAGAGTACCGGAGACCGATTCTGTTCCGGCTGCCCCCGGTCCGCCCACACGCCTCAGCTGAAAGCCGCGGTTCGCAACCGGATTGTCCGCAACCCCGAGCGTTCCATGCGCCAAATGGCCCGGGACCTTAATGTGTCCGAGCGTTCCATGCGCAGACTCATTTCTAAGGATATCCGCGTGAAAAGCCTCCGCAAGAAGCACGTTCACTCCCTCAACGCTGCACAGCGCCACATACGGAAGGAAAGCGCTCTCAAGCTCCTCCGGACCGGGGGCGGCCGGAACGGAATCGGTCTCCGGTACTCTGGGTCTCCTGGTACCGGGTCCACGTCCGATACACAAGATTCCGCGTGCAGCGAAGCGCGCGACATATCTTTGCTACCGAGATATCCGCCATCTTCATGCAGACGATGGCCCCGCGAACTTCCTTTGTTGGGGAGAAAGGCGCCATGGTGTGCACTTAGCTGTCGGACGGTCAGTTACCATTTGTTTCATTAAGGCTCAGCTAGTAAATATTTTTTTCATGATATTACACGTGTTTTGACTTAACTTCATAGAGATCCTCTACTGAAATACTCAACTCTGTAAACCTGTTGTAACTCTTTTTATTAATAAAAGAGAAAGTGTACCAGAACTTATGACGCACCCTGTAGAATAACCCCTTTCCTCAGCCCTGATCTGGCCAGTCCCCCGGTCCTCTCATAACGAGTGGATGGGGAAGATACGACCACTGGCGGGGCCTTTACGGAGCTACTTTTATACGTCAGAGGCTGGTGTAGGCGTGCTGCGTGAGCCACAGTTGGTTCGTACGAAGTTTCATCCACAGTTGGTTCGTACGAGGTTTCATGTCTGTTTTCCCCACCCGCCGTGAACTGAACAGAGGGTGTTCACGGACTCTCTCGCCGATCACTTCCCTCCACAACCTCCCCCTCCCCTCCCTGCTGACCCCGCTGACCCGCTACCCCCGATACCGAGCACCGGCCAGCCGACCCTCGGTGTCGTGTCTCCGTCGGCTGACTCGGCCGTGGATCAGCTCCGTGTCTGTGTGTTCAGGCGGCAGAAACACCGGTAGAGAGCAACTGGAGCCAGGGAGAGAGAGAGAGAGAGAGAGAGAGAAAGAGAGAGAGAGAGAGAGGGAGAGAGAGAGAGAGAGAGAGAGAGAGAGAGAGAGAGAGAGAGAGAGAGAGAGAGAGAGAGAGAGAGAGAGAGAGAGAGAGAGAGAGAGAGAGAGAGAGAGAGAGAGAAGGTGGAAACGGCCCGCCGTACCGGTCAGATCAAGATCTCAGAGGCCAGAGCCGTGGTCCAAATGGAGGGACTCGATTCTCGGTAATCACTCCGTGGTGAGTCGCGGCCTTCCTTCGCTGTGGATCAGTGATCAGTGATCAGTGAACCCATCAGTGATGGTCATCCCAAATTATTGGAAAGCTGATACCAAACCGGGATGACAATGGTTTGGTTTCATTATACCACAAACGTTGGTATCCGATTGACATCTCTTAAAGTTATAATCTATCCGTTCCTGACATAAGGTCTGCTATTAGGTAACCAGGGGTCAGCAAGAGACGTTATAGCTATTCAACGCTATTTTCTAACACCCCGACAATAACTTAAACGATTCTATAGAACGTAGGTAATAATTAAGATAAAAGTCACATAGGAATAACACCCCGACAATAACTATAACGATTCTATAAAACGTAAAAAGATAAAAGTCACATAGGAAACATGGTGTGTCAGAAGTGGAAATAGCCGGTGCGCCGTCTGGCAACCCGGCAGCCCGCCGCCATAGGGAAATTCATGCTTTTTGTCGCTTTTTCGCTCCTTGAGTCACTTGATCTAATTAGAGCTTAACTAGGAACGAGGCGGGTCACTTGGACGTATTCGGTAGCCGAATACGGATTTTTGGAGCCAATACCTGGGAAACCCTGCCCGCCCAATGCGAGTATTTAAGAGTCTGCATGCCCAAATTAACGCCGAGCGCGGCCGCTTTCGGTCGGTTTTCCGCGACCTTGTGGCGAAATCGCCTTATTTATTCAGCCAGGGTGGGCTAATTCGCTTAACTAGGAATGAGGCGTTGAAGAGAATTATTCAAGGAATAGAGTTGTGCAAAAATATTATTTGTATTGTTAAAACTGTATCCGCCCTCGAACGATAAATATTGTTGACCCATCAGGAACACATCCCCTGGAATGCGTTTAGACTTGGCTGGATCTAATATTAGCGAGTATCTGCTAATGCAGTTTCTTGGCTTACACAGTACGCACACAAGCATACATACTTCCTGCCCTTGGTTATCCCTCACTTGAATGAAAATTTTGCTATAATAACCATTCCAAGCAGTTAACAGGTTTTAGTGCAGTGCCAAGTCGGAACCGTTCAGCGCCGCCAGTCTCCCAGGCGGCGCGTAACGGCCGCCGCCGGCCGCGCGCCGCCGCTCTGGCAGGGTGTTTGACTTCATATCTCTGTTGCTAGAAAAGTTGTGGACCGATTTACATGATTCTTGCATGAAAAGATCGGCCATTCAATTCTTAGCAGATAACGAAAATTTGACGTCAATTGCACGATCCGCTGCCCATATTGTGGTACTGCCATCTATTGACAAGGCTGGCGAACTAAAGCCGGGCGGCTGTTTCCACTTTTGACACACCATGATAGGTCGACAAATCTGACCTGACCGGTATATAGGGCCTTGACCAGACCAAACTCCTCAGACGAGCTCCTCATCCTGGTAGCTGAGACGTCTCCATGGCAACCGCCAGTCGCGCTCAACGGTAGAAAGGGACTTCCCCTCTCCCACGTGCATGGAGCGAACCGCGCCAGTCGACAAAGGGGACTTCCCCGCGGTAAAACTGAAACTGACGTCCAAATAGTTTTCAGATTGTTAATTTTGCTTCTAACCATGTTTTATGATGTCTTAAATATTGACATTACACTTATTAGTGTAGTAAATTGCCATGATAATCCACTGAGGTAAAGACACTCGATTAAACCTAATCTGAGATAATCCAGCATGGTGTATTATCTGAGATAATACACCTACGCAGCACACGGAACACAAAGCTCCTCTGGTAGAAGGCTATGCTGGGTTAGGGTGAGGGGTTTATATAGCCTTGGGCTGAGGTCAGACCAAGGCTCAGAGCATTATCTCAATATGTGTTGCGCAAACAAACATTTCTTGGACTCAGTGCATTGAAAAACAAGGAAAAGAACAAAACATGGGTATATCCTTGTATAACTATCGGGACCTCAGCTTCGGCCATACCTACAACACGCTACACGATACCAAGCACTGCGAACGAGCCCCTGAGAAATACCGACAAAGACCACACTGTTTAGCCAACCCCTCATCCCCACAGAGGTGTGTGACATTCTGTGTCCTCTCCCTGACCCCACCAGCTGACCTCACCTCGTCTGCTCTGTCCGTCCTGCCCTCTCCTCCGGCTCCGTCCGTACTCGGTACGCCTCTCCCAGACTGACACTCCACACGTGCAGCGGCCACTGGCAGTCCCTAAGGTCGACAGTCCACGGCTGTCTGCCGCCTCTGGTTCCGACAACCGACGATAGGTGGCAGCAGGTCCTGGGCTCAGTCTGCCGCCTCTGGTTCCGACAACCGACGATAGGTGGCAGCAGGTCCTGGGCTCAGTATGCCACCTTTGGTTCCAGCAACCGACGATAGGTGGCAGCAGGACCTGGGCTCAGTATGGGGGAGCATTCATTCTGGCCAGGGTTCATGATGTCCAGGGTCCGTTATGCCCAGTGTCGAAATGGCCAGTGCCTTAACCCTATTCCTGGCGGGCTCCGCCGGGACAAGAAACTGGCGGGGGGGGGGGGCCGATTCGGCCCCCCCCCCTGAGATCTCGAGAACGAAGCAAGATAGCGACAAACGGTAAACGGCATCGGATACGCACGGTCAAGATCTACAATTTTTACTAAGGTCATTTTCAGGTCAGGTCAAAGATGACGTCACAGGGGTCGAAAAAGTCAAAATGGCGGCGCTAGATATGGAGAGAGTTTTTCTCGAATAACTTTCGAATTAGTCAAGATAGGAACAAACTAAGGGCATCATCGTGATCCTCTCGTCAATTCGCATCGAATGATATATATGTTGACCTCGCAAGGTCAAGGTCAAAGGTTGACCTCAGGTCACGTGACCTCGAGGTCATCATGTATATCATTCGATGCGTCTTGACGAGCTGAACACAATGAGACCATCCACGCGTCTGTATCTTGTTCCTGTACGGAGTTATTGGCCAAAAACCTTTGGTGACCTTTGATGACGTCACATGACCTCACAGCTGCCCA